AGAGTTACATAAGAACATACTTCTCCTTTCTCCTCCTCCTCTCTTCCTTTCCACTCCCTCCTTCCCCCATCCAGCTCCATAACTGAAATTGTCTGCTCCAGGAGAGTTGCCATTATCAGCTTGACGCAGTCGATGGTGTTCTCAATTTTAAGTCAGAAGGTTTGTGGCTTTGTATCCCACATCAGGAACTTGGAGCTCACAGTCCAGTGCTGGGGGAGCGCTGAATTGCCAGAGGTGCCGTCCTTCAGATGAGACGTTAAACTGTCTGTGTGTCCAGGTGGACATTATGGATCCCAAGACACGATTAGAAAAGTCACCTAGCCAACACCCCCCATATTGATTAATCATTAACTTCTTGCTGTTTGGGGGAACCTTGCTATGTGCAAATTGGCTGCTGCGTTCACCTGCATTTTCCATCTAAGTGACATCAATTAGCTATGAAATGCTTCAATACATTTCAACATTATATCATTCTTTCAAATGCATGAATTATTATTGTTATTTGACGTTCTAGACATTGCAGATACACTCCTGAGGGATACGACAAGCAATAACTGGATGAACTGGGCCTGTTTCATAATGAAAATGCTTGCATTTGATACCATGCCCTATTGCGTCGTCGAGATGTCTCAAACCACTTCAACGAATATATTTTAAAGTGAAATGTGGTCCCCTCAGATGCAGTTGGTTGTTTGATGTCACCTCTTGGTGACATCATCAACAGACATGGGGTCAACTTGTACATGTGTGCGGATGACATCCAACTCCACATCTCTGCCTCCACCCTTGACTCCAGGACCAGCATGTCTGTCAGACATCAAGTCCTGGATGAGAGCTAACTTTTTTCAGTTGAACATCAACAAGACCGAGGCTCTCCTGATTGGCTCCCGTCAGCGCCTCCTCACCTCAAGCGCTGATAGTATCACCATCCATGGTTTCACACTCCACCTTGCTGGAACCTTGGGTCTTATTTGACCCTCAACTATTCTTTCTACCCCACATCTGCACCATACCCCTCTGCCTTCCCCCACCTCCGCAACTTTGCCCAGCTCTGCCACTTCCCCCCAACTCCGCAACTTTGCCCGGCTTTGCCACTGTCTACACCGCAGGCCACCGAAACCCTCATACATGTTTTCATTACATCAAGGTTCGACTATGCAAACTCACTGCTTGTCGGTCTCCCCAACTCCTCCCTCCATTGGCTGCAGATTATCCAGAACTCTGCAGCCTGTGTCCTCTCCCGCACCAGGCTCCGCGACCCTATCACTCCCATGCTCACCCGATCCCATCACACAGAGGATACAGTTCAAGATCCTCGTCCTCAACTTCAAAGTCCATGGTCTTGCCCCCACCTAACTCTGCAACCTCCTAACCCCCTACCATCCTGCTTGCTCCCTTCGTTCAGCGGGCTCCGGCCTGCTTCACGTCCCCTGCCTTGCTCACCCCACTATTGGTGGGTGGGCCTTCTGCCACTCTGCCCCCATCCTCTGGAACTCCATCCCACAGTCCCTCCGCCTCGCCTCCTCCGTTGCCACCTTCAAAACCCATCTCAAGCACTCTTCAACAGTGCTTTCAATCTCCCTGCTTCCCCCCCCCCGCCCTCCACCCTCCCCGACCCCGAATCCCAGCTCGGGTCTGTAACTCTGTCGCTTTGGGACGTCCTCCTGACATGAAATGTCATTTTGTTGTTGTTGATGTGTTTGAAGAACAATGCTGTTCATGAGTTGGCTGCCATATTCGCATACAAGTGCACAGTCATTGCTCTTTGCAGGGACCTCTTTGAGGTGCTTTTGAGATACCTATTTGCATCAACATACACACCCGTGCACACACACACATACACAAAAAGCTACAGATGTAGTCACTCACAGATAAATGCGCACACAGACCTAAAACCTACTATTTTCACATCCACATCAATCCCTATAATAATAATAATCCTTGCTAGCCTCTTATCTCATCATTGAGATGTTTCAAAGGGCTTCGTAGATTATAAACTGATTTGACTATATATTTTGTGGTCGAATTCCACACAGCAGTGTCGCACAAACAGTCATGGTTTGAGTAACCAAATGTTTTGAAGCGAGGGATTATTACCCCCAGAAAAGCGATCTGCCAATCGACTAACAACCAGGTTCCTACTTAATGCCAGGTAAACTGGGGCGTGCCTGTGTGTGGATTAAGGTAATTTGCCTAAGGTTTCACCCAGATCGGGAATCAAACCCGGGTCCTCTCACTTGCGAGGCGAGCGCACTTACCACTACGCAACGGGACTTGTGCTGATATCTCTATCAGTGCAGATATCTCTAACTCTCCACTGTATAGGACTTAAATGACACTTTCCAGAGGATTATAGTTTATCGGTTGCTGACAATCAGCCAGCACTCAGCGCCTCCCTGAGATTAGCTGGATGTTCCTTGCGGGATTAGCGTGACCTCGCTGACCTGTTTTAGGAGTGTGTAAATCCCAGCTGGTTACAGTGCTGGTCTGACAGGTTACCAGGTGCAGAATAACAGCGGGCAAATCAAACTATCGTCATTAAAACATTGGCAGTAATAGGCTACAGTTTTTTATCTTTAATCTCAATGGATTCTGGGCATTGTGTCTGTGCCGCTCTCTATTTAGTCCCACTCCACAGCCCTTCATTGCCTCCCACAACCTGTTAGATTTTGCTAATTCCGTATTACAAATGTGTCTAATTACCTTCAGCCATCAACTCGCTGGGAACACTCAGCAGGTCAGGCAGCATCTATGGAGAGAAGAAAGTGAGTTAACGTTTCAGGTCGATGACCTTTCATCAGAACTCTTGACATCAGAACAGTTTCGACAAAAGGTCATCGACCTGAAATGTTAACTCATTTTCCTCTCTCCATTGATGGTACCTGACCTGCTGAGTGCTCCCAGCGATGTGTGTTTTTATTTCACACATATATTCTGTGAAGCACTTTTAGGCATCTCAATGACGTGATAACAATAATAATAATCCTTTCATGTGATATAACGCTTTTCACGTCTTCTAGTCAAGGCATTATATGAAGTGCAAGGATTATTATATAAATGCAAGTTGTTGCTGTTGAAAGATATTATGATTCTGCTTCAAACCCCAGATTTTGGTCAGGCACTCCATGTCCTAATAACCCTCTCTCTGTAATAAATAGCCTAACTTCTCCCTTTGGTCTTTTGGGGAATCTTAAGTTGATGCCCTCTAGTTGCTGACCAGTGGAAATACTTTCTCTTCCAGTTTCCCTTGTTCAGCTCTTTATAACTCTGAGCACGATTTGAGACGGGTCTTGAAAAAGGGGAGAGAGAGTAGGTGGGAGGAAATCAGTCAGAGAGACCCCGGGATGGAGCTCCAAAGAGCGGGAGCGGAATGGATGAAAGTTCACCTGCTGATTGATGGTGGGCAGATAAGGTGTACATGAAGCGGAGTGAGCAAGTCGAAGGAATTGAGGAACGTCTCAGAGATGGATGAAGTCACAGAGGTCGGGTGGGGTGGGGTGGGGTGTGCCCGTGGAGGGACTTAAAGGTGAGAACAAGGATCTTGAATTCGATCTGCTGGGGGATGGAGAGTCCTACAATGGAGCAAAGTCCTACAAACAGCCATGAAGTTAATGAACAATTTTATATAGGGACTGTTGGCCAGGACACAACCCTTGCTTTGATGTGTACCGTGGATCTTTAGCATGCATCTGAACGTCTAAAGGTTCAGATATCCTACATGAAGTCTCAATTCGGTTGGTTCAGTTACAATCCCTTTCCCCTCTCCCCCCCATCCTCCCAATCTCCTTGGTGCCCCTCGAACTGTCACGCCAGCTTTCTGTCCTCCCCTACAGAGAGTGTAGAATCTCTGGCTGGTAATTTATTCAGTTCCTGGAAGGAAAACCGAATACTTGTGAGCTTGACACATGTTCAGCTGGGAACATAAATGTAAGGAAATGCTCTGGATTCCAGACAGAAGTTGATTCATTGAAGTATTTTCAAGGTTAAGTTAGTCAAATTTCTCAATGGCTCGAGCCAGGTTTCCACCCCTCCTGCTTTCCACCCTCCACCTTCTCCCCTCAAGGAAATGGTTCGGGCACTATCGGTGGAAACATTTCCACGGGGGCCAAGGTACAGTTCCACAATATGGTGCTGTGGGTGCCAAAGTTTGCCCACAAAATATACCGTCAATTTACAGTATATTCTGTGAAGCGCTTTGAGACGTTTCGAAGACGTGATAAGGCGCTATATCAAATGCAAGGAATATTATTATTATTAATGAACAGTTCCACAGGCGCTGGGGCCATTGGTGCATTTCTGTGTTGCCATCTCAATATAGTTCCACAAACGACAGCCAATTTACCACTGGAACTCTCCCAAATCCTTTTGCTTAGCACTCCTGTTGCTGTCTGCCTTCAGACCCTATATAGTGATGTATTGCTAATATCAGATTATGCTGTCCATGTTTAATATCAGGCTATATAGAGGTGCTCACTGCTAATAGACTACATAGAGGTGTCACTGTTAATATTGTTCGACTACAAAAGATACAGTCACTCCACTTTACAGTGTATTCTGTAAAGCGCTTTGAGACATCTCGAAGACATCATAAGGCACTACATCAAATGCAAGGATTATTATAATATCTATGTAGATAAACTGCGGACCAGTTTTAACACTAATAACAGAAATCACATAACACGTTGCACAGAGTAAATATAATCCATGCATTTGATATCACACGTTTAACTTCAGTAGGATGTCTCAGAGCACTGTAAAGTACACTGTGTTTTCTAAGGCGATTTCTTATCAAATGATTACTTATCAGGGTGGTCCAACTGGCGGCCTGTGGGCCTGTTGGACCTCACTGGCCTAGATTATTACTTTATTATCGTCATGCCCATCATAAAATGTTGATGTTGAGAAGTTCATTGTACATGAAAGTCGCTTTGTGAGGGAAAGTTGTTGTGGAGAAATGAAGTGAGGTGTGACTGATCTTTTGGTCTTTTCTTGTGCCTCAGGCTCAGGATTTGAACGTGATCGAGGAGGTGATCCGAATGATGCTGGAGATCATCAACTCTTGCCTGGCCAATTCCCTCCACCACAACCCAAACCTGGTCTACGCACTGCTCTACAAGCGGGACCTCTTTGAGCAGTTCCGCACCCACCCGTCCTTCCAGGATGTCATGCAGAACCTTGACACGGTGAGCAGTGGAGGGGCAGGAACGGGGGAGGGGGAATTGAAGTGAAGGTGGATGGTGCGGGAGGTTGGGATGGGATTCTGGTAAGGTGGGGTCTCTGGCCATTTGCTTGGGATACCCAGGCCCTTTGTTAGATACAGTTTTATTGGCTTTACCAATGGGAGTGATATCAACTAGGGGGCAGAGGGTGGGGGAGACTGTTCTACCAGTTTATTAGACGGGAGCAACCTTTTAATTCCTTCTCGCCGCCTTTTCCCCACAGTAATTGCTTCTGTTTACCGTTTGTTTCATTTACCAAATAGAATATCAAGGGAATATTGCAACATGTAAACGTATTGTTAACATGATATTGAACCCGGAAACCCATCACACTTTCTTTCCCTCTCTTCCATCTCTCAGGGAATGGCGTGACAGACAGACTGAGAGGGGGGGAGGGGGAATGCAGTGATGGAGAGACAGAGAGAGATGGATGGAATGAGAGACTGAGAGGGGGAGTGAGGGACGGACAGACAGACAACAATAACAAATTACATTTGCACAGCGCCTTTCACATCAGGAGGATGTGAAGGCGCTGGACAGTCAGGGATTTGCACCCGAGCTGGGGGTTGGATCAGGAAGGGTGGAGGGCAGGGAGGGTAGGGGTAGGAAGGTGACCAAAGGCGCGGTGGAAGTGGAGGGTCTTGAGATGGGCCTTGAAGGAGGCAAATGAGGGGGTGAGGTAAAGGGACTGTAGTTCCAAATGGTGGGGCAAAAAAGGCTGAAAAGAGAGTGAGGAGCAGACTGAGAGAGGGACACAGACTGACAGATGGAAGATAAGGAGAGAGAGTGAAGGACAGACTGACAGAGAGGCAGACAGACGAATGACTGCCTGTGCTTGTCTTGCAGGTGATCAGCTATTTCAGCTCTCGGCTGGAGCAGGCAGGAGCTGACCTGTCTGTGGAGCGGGTCCTGGAAGTTATCAAACAAGGAGTTGTAGCATTACCCAAAGACAGGCTGAAGGTGAGCATCGCTGATTGTTACTGCTGATATGGGAATAGGAGGCCATTCAGCCCATCAAGCCTGTAACTCCAGTTGATTAGATCTCTCAATCCCTTTTCCTCGGCTTTTCATATTGTTAAGACATCTCAAAGCGTAGTGTACAGTGGAGCAAATCACTCTGTCAAACGGTGGTTAGGCTGTGGAATACCTTACCACAAATGGCTGGATGAGGCACCAAAAAATTGGTTAGACCCGGGGGAGAAATATCTAGATATACTCTTCATTTTCTGAGCTTTACCGTGTGTCCGGGATTTGACAAATTCTTAACCACAGTCTTAAAGCGGTTTATTGTAAGAAGAACCCCCACAAAAAGGGCTTCAAAGTTCATACTTAATTCAACAATTTGCCAAATTCTGGACCCATGAAAATGCGACAGAGCAAATCTAGACCGGTTTGCACACATAAGAGTTTCAGATAGTCTGTCAGTCATAATACGTAATAATAATAATCTTTTGCATTTGATATAGCACCTTATCACGTGTTGAGATGCTTCAAAGGGCTTCACAGGATAAAGTAAACTGACTGTATAGTTTGTGGGTGAAATGAGGCAGCCAATTGCGCACAGCAGTGTCCAACAAACAGTTGCGGATTGAGTGACCAAATTATTATTATTTGATTTATTTAAATAAAAATAAATAAATAAATAAATAAATCAGGTTATTGGCCCAAGGAGCGGGGAGAGATGTACTAAGGTTCTGTTAAGGGAAATTCAGATGTGATTGAATATGTGAAAAGCCCCTTATTGCTTAAAACATTGTCTCTGACTCTCTCCCTCCTCCCCCTACTTTAGTCGGATTACCAGTGGTGAAGGCTGCTAGCTAGAGGCTGGTGAGGAGAGGAGTGTGCTCTCAGCTAGGAGATAAGTATTAGGATAAATTGGGAAAACTTGAAAGTCTTCACTGGGGCTATTTTTACACAGACACAATTAGTTCGGATTAGAAAATGTCGGGTTGCTGGCTCTATTCTAGTTGTGCAAGAACGGGCTACTGTATTAACCGTTTGAGGTCAGGGTTTCATCTGAATTGTGATAGAACTGGTGGAAATCGTTAGAAGACAACCGGCGACATCGATAATCCATGTTTTGTGATGTTCCGCAATGCGATGAAAGTAAACTCTCAGCAATTAAAAGAATTTTAGTGATGAAAGATTTTTAAAAAAAATGTTTTATCTACAAAATGGCCCACTTCAGGGTCATCAGGTTGCCAACGACATCACTTCCTGCGTTTTGAATATGCGCGAGCTTCTTGCACACCCGTAACGCACAGGAAGTGACATCGGTGGGGAACTGACAACTGGAACCCATCATTTTTGTAGTCAGAAATCTTTAGAAAAATTGCATTTGAGATGTTTCAACATTATAGGAGCTATAAACCCAAGGATTATTATATTGTAATTCGCGGGGGGAGAAACTGAGTAAGCCGATCACAATCACTGCAACACAGTTTGAGTCAGAATGGCTTGGACGGATTTGTAGTTGGGTAATTGTACTGAGTTTCATCATGGTCTATGTGGCCAGCTGCAGGGCACGTAGGCTGCACAGTCAGTGTGTAACAAAGGGCTGAGTCGCTCACTTCAGAGCCAGACATTGAACAGAAGTCGAGGTTTGTGTCTTCAGCCACAGCGTCATTGCCAGACAATCCGTCTGACTCAGTGTGAGGAGGTTTCAGTGTCAGACAGGCAGACACCGAGTGAGGGGTTCATAGAGTATTTGCAAGCAGGAAGTCTCCGAGCTAAACAGTGAATGAGGGTTTGCAGTGCAAAGTGCTTGTGGGTTCAGGTCGAACCTCTCTCCGGAAAATCCCAGCACCAGATTGGAATATTTTTACAGTTTAGGCACTTATTGGATTCCATTTTGATTTAAGACATGAAGAATGATGCAGCACTGAAACAGGCCATTCGGCCCAACTCGTCCTTGTTGGAAAGTGGTGATGGGATGAGTGAACGGACCAGGATTTGAACCTGGGACCTTTTGGTTCCAAGGCCAATCCAGCGCCTCCCGACGTGAAAGGCACTCTATAAATGGAATCTTGTTGTTGTTGTAATCTTGTTGTAAGTGAACTAAGCTCCTCAGGTGCCTTTGAATAATTCTATTGATCTAGCCAAGAGCCATTTGTCTGAATCAATTCCGAATCCTATCATTGCTCTGAGTGATGTTGCCTCTAACCTGCTTCTCTCTGCTGAGGATCCTGACACTCTTGAACCGAGTCCCCAGCGAATGGAAATGGTCACATGGTGTAATTGTTGTGCCAGGGCATTCGAACCCTCCTGGGATCTCTCTATCCATTCTGTGTGCCGTTTCTTCAGTGGCACAGCTCTTGATCGCTGGTAGGTGAAAGGTAACATGGAACCAGGGCCCAGGTGGTTTCGATCAGTTCAGAACCTCTTAAAATTGCAGCTATGTGCTTCTGACGTGATATTTCCTGATTTGTCACCCTTAGTTTAAAAAGAAAGAAATTCCAGGCCGGACGCAAGCCAGTGGGCACAAGGTCTCTAATCCAGCTTTTAGCTCCTCTACTACAGTGATGATACTACTAATAATAATCCTTACAGAATAATATAGTGCCTTAACACATCGTTGATACATCTCAAAGCGCTCGCAGAGTGTATTGCAGAGTGGATTGACTGTATTTTGTGGGTGAAACATGGCAGTCAATTGCGCAAAGCGGTGTGTCCTACAGACAGTCGTGGAGTAGATGACCAAATTATTATTTTTAACGGGGGGTGGGGATTATTGCCCCAAGAAGTAATCCCCAATCCTACTTACTGATAGGCAAACAGAGGCCTGTGGAGTAAGGAAAGTTGCCAAGATTTTGCCCTGCCCGGGAATTGAACGCAGGTCCTCACGCTTTCAAGGTGACTGCTCTAACCACTACACTGGGAATACACTCTCTAGTCCTAATCCTCTCCCACATGCCCCTTCATACTGTTTCTTCAAATATGTATTCAGTTCCCTGTTAAACACGTTCCATTTGGCTGTTCAGATAGACGTCACACGGCACTGTTCAAAAAGAGAAGAGAGTTTGTCCTAGCTGAGAAATCCTGCCATAAATAAAATTGGTCACTCACTTCATGGCTGTTTGTGAGATATTGCTGTGACTTGTTCGCCTACAAAAATTTAGTGGGTAACTCTCAACAACAACAACATTGCGTAGCTCCTTAAAATACACAGTCACTATACAACAGTAAATCGTGTGAAGCTCTTTGAGGTGTTTTGACGACATGATGAGACGCTGTATCAAATGCGAAGAGGATTAGAAAGTCGCCCTTTATAACCCTGAAACCTGTGACCTCACGTGTTGCTGCCCTGGAGAATGCTGTGGTAACCTGGTCATTAAGTGGGGAGAAAGTTTCTCAGCATTGCAGAGCTTGGTACATTCTGAGGCCCAATGTGCCTCTTGTGCTTTGGCTTAAGACCATTATCTTACAATTCAAGTCTGTGCGGAATTTTGGAAAACAGTCTGAAACTCAGTGGTAATTTGCAAACCAATTTTCCACAGTGTCCAGAAAGAACCGTGGGAAATTGGCTTCTAAATTAAGACTGTTTTCCAAAATTCCGCATGATCTTAAACTGTAAAACATGGGAGTAAACCTAAGATCGTGAGAACTTAAGGTCTCTGATAACAGCAGCTCAGTTTAGTCTGTTCTGTCTTGAGATATCGGTTGTCTGAAAAGGTGAACTGGCTGCCAAGCACGACCAATAGATAATTTGATCTAGCTCCTATCACGTCAGAATTAAAGAGCTTCACAGAGAACTGCTGTTAAGTGTAGTGACTGTGTCTATAGCAGTCAGCAGGAACTCGCTTGTTAGTCAATTGGTAGATCGCTTTCCAGAAGTAATAATCCCTCCCAAAAAAATGTGGTCACTCGACTGTTTGTGGGACACTGCTGTGTGCAATTGGCTGCTGTGTTTCGCCCACAAAATACAGTCAATTTACTTTACAGTGAAGCGCTTTGAGACTCCTTTCTCTATATTCTGATACAGTTATAGGATCTTTAACATTCCACTGAATGTTTAGGTGGAAGATCTCACCTGACAAAGCAGCGCTTCCCCAAGTGCTGGAGTGTCAGCCTCGCTCAACTGTGAGCTCACAATCTTCTGACCCTGAGATGACAGCATTGTCTGAGTGAATAAGAGTATTAAGGCCTAGGAGAAATGGTGGGGAAATGAGATTTGTGGGTCAGTCTGGCTCAGTCAGTAGCATTCTCGGCTCTTGAGTCAGAATGAAAGCAGGGAGTTTCTCTCTATGTCCTGGACAACAGTCTCCGTGATGAAATTCACAGTTGTTTGAGGGATGTTGATGTGCACAAATTGAATGCCTCGTTCACCTACAAATACACAGTCATTACACTTGACAGTGAAATTCTGTGAAGCCCTTTCAGACTTCTCCTAGTGTGATTATTAAGATCTAGGATTAGGATTATTAAAATCTGTTGGAACAGTCTCAATGGTCTGAATGGACTTGTCTTGTTCCAATGTTCTACCCCCCCACCCCCCTCCTCTACACGCACACACACACACACACTCTCGACTAATCTGCTCAGTGAGAGGCTTTGATAGACTGCTGTCTGGGCTGGCTGTGATCAGCTGTTCTTTTCCTGTTTGCCTTGGATGTCTAAACGCATTTAAAATAGTCTTGAACCACTTCTAAATTGGCACATTGGTTAAAAAAGGAGGTAATATAATCTCCTATCAAAATAGAAGCTGCAAATATCACAATTTAATCTTGTTTGGAACCAAATGCAGCCGGTGGCTGACTATAAAGAGGCATGTTTTTCTGACTCGGAACAGATAAGGAAGTATCCACTGATCTATATTGTGAATGGAGCAACTTCTCTCTCTCTCTCTCTCCCTCCTTCACTTATTTCCCCTATTCTTCTCTTCTCTCCTCTTCTCACTATCTTCCCTTCTCTTCTTCCTCCTCTCCTCTGCCCACTCTTCTCTCCACCCCCACCCACATCCC